AGAATAATGACTGGCATATAAAGGTCACCTGCTGGAGGTAAATTACTTTGCTATCACCTGACACTCTATTTTCTTAGGTTTTTAAACTATAGTCTAAGGCAGGAGGCTTTGACTGGTTGTATCTGTCTTTCAGGATTGAAATGTATGCAGAAGGTGTGGCAGATTTGAGTGAAATGATCATGATTCTGCCCTTATGCCCTCCTGATCAAAAAGACGCAAAGATTGCTCTGACCAAAGACAAAACAACAAATCGCTATTTCCCTGCCTTTGAAAAAGTAAGTGAAGCTGTTCAATGATTTGGGGCCCTGAGTTTAGAGAATCAAAATAGTGCCCACATATTCATGGGACATTGACCTTCATTCCAAGGACACTTCCTGAACACCAGTGCAGGACTCTGACTCTCAAATCATTTTATAAAAATGGACTGTGAAAAGAATTATACCACTGATACCCAAGTTATAATTTTTCAGCAAAGTTTTTGTTACCTAGATCTCAATCTAGAATTCTCTTCAACAGAATTTCAGAGTCATGTTAAGACGTTGGGTTGAGGAAGGCTCTGAGCCACACTAGAGGTGGGGCTAGATCCTGCAGATCACCATGAGCTTTGATTCAAGAGGACCGTGATGAAAGCAATACAGCAGAAAACATTCTGGCACCACATGTATGGAGACACGAGACCAGCTGCCCATCAGGAGAATATTGTAGTGTTTGAGGAATGGGTGAGAAATATGTAAATAGGGATCATAGCAGAGGGATGATGAGGAAGAATTAGATGAAGAGATGTTAAAAAAAAAATAATCTACAGAATTTGGAGACATGACTTTCAGACTTTACAGGAAAGCCATGAAAACTAAAGAAATAAGTGCCATCATTGGTTACTTAGTATCTAGCTCAGTTAATGTTTCCAATGTAAAAGGAGACCATTTCAAGGTCAAAACTAATTGAAATTGTGCTAACTAAAAATGTAAAACCTAAAAAATGGTTTTAAAATATACCGGAGGCTAAAAGAAAGAAAAACTAATACCTAATGCTTCTTTCTAAAGTATTAGATCATTCTTTCATTCATCCAACAATTGTTAAATTATTGCTTGTGTGTCAGGCCCTGTGCAAGGAGGGAAGTGTTTAAGAGCAATCAGATCCTCAGGCACACCTGCTGGCCCTTGTGGTTCTTGACAGTTTAGGGCACATTCACAGGGTGACAAGCTCTACAGCTATTACAGTGTAATTACATTTATACTGTGAAATCGAAGAGCCCCATGATAACAGAAATGAACAATATATCCCACATTATAGCATTTGATGTTGTAATTTGTTTTTGTGCCAAATAACTGATTATCCATAATTCTATACTACAAAAAAGGTATTTGCCAACATATTATTTTACTCGGTGGTGCCATTTGTGTTTTTTCTCCTTATTCTTGATGATTTGCGCACTGCTGGAATATTTTAATAAATATTACATATTACCACAAAATTTTCTTTTGAGGAAATTTATACACCAAGAAAAGTTGGAAGAAATGTACAATGAACACATACATACCCACCATCCGGATAGCAACACTAGCATCTTATTATGTTTGATTTATCATAGATGCCTATCTCTCTGCCCTTCTCTCTATCAATTAAACATACATTTTTCATGCATTCAAGGAAAGTTGCAGACATCAGTGCAGATCATCTCTAGGACATCCAGCATGCAGCTCATCACAGTGTAAGTAGGAGGCAGAGCCAACGTTGCAAGGGACATGACGGATTCAGGTTCACCCAGGTTTCCTTCAGATCCCAGAGAGAGAGGCCAGGAGGTGAGGAGAGCAGACGAGAGGAGAAACACAGACTCTGCTGTCACAAAGTGGAGTCACTGCCCAAGAGGGACTGGAGAGAGAGAGCAGAGTGGAGAGCCATGTCCTGAAGTTTCAGGGCCGCAGCCTTGTAGGGTGTGGGGTAGACAGACACTTGGTGCTGCAGGAGCCTGTGGAAGACGCAGGTGAGGCTGGGCGGTGTGAACACCGCAGCGATGTGGGAATGACAGCAAATGGTAGCCTGGGCTTCAACTGAGATGTGAGCAAACCCATTTCACGCTGTCCTCATGAATCAGGGCCGGTGGAGAAAGGTCTGGAGCTCTGCACCCTCCTGGTGAGGCAGCAGAGGTGGGAGAGTCGGGCTGCAGAGGCTCAGGGAGAAGCAGGGCCCAGCCTGACTGTGCGTGTTCACCATCTGATTCCTCGAATTGGCAGGTGTTGAAGAGCCATGGACAAGACTACCTTGTTGGCAACAGGCTGAGCCGGGCTGACATTCACCTGGTTGAACTTCTCTACTATGTGGAAGAGCTTGACCCCAGCCTTATCAGCAACTTCCCTCTGCTGAAGGTGATCTGCTTTATGCCCCTAGAGAGGCAGCCCCACATCTCCCATCTTGGAATCTCATATTTGGATGCTTGGGCTGGTGACATTCTGACCCCAGTCCTCTCCAGCCTTCACTGTCCACGCACCCCACCCCCCTTTTATTTTGTGTCTTCTTTTCCATCTCAATTTTTCCACATCTTCATTTCTCCTGCTTGGAGACTTATCTGTGTCAATATCCAACAGACTCATTGTTCTCTGTATTGCACAAGAGCCATGAATCTATAGGATTAATAATGTAAGGAAAAAGGGGAAGACTGTGAAGTACATAAGGTCTGAAAGACACCCTCCGGGAAAATGCTACTGAGCTATGTTTTCTTCCTCCTACCTTCATTTCTCACCAGAGTCTGTTTTCCAGCCCCTGTTCTGGTGCTGGTGGAGGGGACTCAGTGGAACTTTGTCTAGTAGGGTCTCCAATATTCTGGGTTATGGTAATGATAGTTTGGTCTTTGGGCTTCACTCTGAGACTATAATTTATACATTGCAGGCTCTGAAAACCAGAATCAGCAACCTCCCCACTGTGAAGAAGTTTCTGCAGCCTGGCAGCCAGAGGAAGCCTCCCATAGATGAAAAAGGTTTAGAAGAGGCAAGGAAAATTTTCAAGTTTTAATAAAGCAGGCATGGATGCCAAGCACATGCCAATGGAACTTGTCGAGATTTACCACAAAAGAATGCCTCACCTACATCTTGATACTGGCTATTATGAAGCTAATTAATGTTTTCCAAATTAATATGCTAATTAAATAATAAAACTCGTATGAGAATGCTTAGTTAAAATCTATTCCTTTTTATTAGGATCTGATATGAAATCAAATTTCTAATCACATTTAACCTTTTTCTTGGAATTAAAAGTTTAATAAAAAAAGGAAAATGTAGATTATGTGGTTTGTTTCACTTTTCCAAGAATTTACATCTGTCATATAGCCTATCAAAGAGTCAAGTGTAGAAATTACTTCTGACATTCTCAAGTACACACAGGGACATAGTAACCTTTCTGGGTATTGGCATTATGAAATTTTCTTGTTTTCTTGGAGAGCTATCTTATTTCTGATAATAAAAATATTTTTTCTTATGCATTTTTCAGACAGCAATTATGTCTACCATGAGTAGACACATCAGTGTTCTAGGAGGTGGTGAATTAATGACAACAAAACCCAGTCAACCTCTGCTCTTAGGTGACCCTGTGTCCCTGACAGTGCATGCGCCCCAGCACATCTGCACTCAATTCCATAACGTTCTGTGGGGCCTGGCATGAGCCTTGCTCTCAGTTCTCTCAGTGCTGCTCAGACCTGGGCTTCCAAGATACAGATGATATATGTGAATTATATATAAAGGAATATAGGTAAAATCATTTTCCCCTGTGTGTCACTGTGCCAGAGTTCTTGGATTAGGAGTGATTTCTGGCTTCAGCTGCATAAAAGCCTACACTGCTAATCTGTCTCAGGAAATCTGGGCTTTGGTGTATTTAATTCTTCTCTCATAGTGAGCTTCCCCTCAGTTGGGGGATGGGGAGGTGGGAGGCAACCGACCAGCTCTGGGGTGGGGGTGGGGGGTTGCTCCCCTACTGTAGCTATACTCTGCTCGAGCCAGTTCTCTACTTACAACCAGAGTGGCTTTTCTAGAATGCAAATCTGAATATCACTGCCCTTCTTTAAATTCTTTAGTGCATCCCCATTGCCTGCTCAAAGCACCCTCACACCCCATCTCACTCCCTGATCTCCAGCCCAAGAAACCCCTTGAGCATGGCGGGGTCTCTTGCCTCCGTGCCTGGGCACATTTGCTAGCCCTGCCTGGCCAGCTCCTTCCCGCCTGGCCACACTCCACTCCCCACCTCGTTGCTTCCCAGGGAGCGCTGCTCTCTCCTCTGTGCCCTCCACAGAGCCCCAGCAAACCTCTAACAACACCTACAAGCCACTGTGTCTCCTCCACTGTCCTGTGAGCTCCTGGTGTGCGGCAGGCCCTGCTGAGTCCCCAGTGCTTCATCACAAGCAGATCATGACGCAGTGCACAACTCCATGGACACTTTGAGGACCCAGGGGTAGGAGTCTGGGCTTTCAGCACTCCTTACATATCCTCACACCGCCTGCCTGACCCTGTCTGTTTGATTCATCCATTTTGACAAATATGTATATTCATGTCCTTCAAATGCTATGTATTGACCTTGCTTGGATGTTGATGTAAATGACCTAAATGCAAAGAAATCTTCATGTGACTATCAGAGGAATCTGTCTGTTTGATTCATCCATTTTGACAAATATGTATATTCATGTCCTTCAAATGCTATGTATCGACCTTGCTTGGATGTTGATGTAAATGACCTAAATGCAAAGAAATCTTCATGTGACTATCAGAGGAATTGTTAGTAATTGTATTTCTAAATGTTTCTTATTGGGATAGATGTTTTTAAATTTAAAATAGTCAGAATGCAAAATATTTGATGAAATTAATAAATAATAAAATGAAATCCAGAAATTATAAAATAAAATTTCAGTGTGATAAGAGAATAGTGTGATTATGTTGAGAAAAGTTCTTATTTTCGAGAGATAAATTCTGTTATTTTTTGATGAAATGATATGGTGTCTGGCATTTGCTTCAAAATAATCCTGTGGTAGTGAGAATAGTGTGATTATGTTGAGAAAAGTTCTTATTTTCGAGAGATAAATTCTGTTATTTTTGATGAAATGATATGGTGTCTGGCATTTGCTTCAAAATAATCCTGTGGTAGCGGGGAGAAGGTGGGAGTGTGTATTAGTTTCTCATGGCTCCCGTAACAGATTACCACAAACTAGGTGGCTTGAAACAACAGAAGCATATTCTATCCCCCTTGTGCAGGCCTCAAGTCTGCAGTGAGGGTTTTGGCAGGGCCACACAACCTGGAAGCTCCAGGGGAGAATCCTTTCCCACCTCTTCCAGCTTCCAGTGACTGGGAATCCCTCGCTATCTGTGGACCATGGCCACAACACTCCAGTCTCTGCCTCTGTCCTCCACACCTCACCGTCTGTGTGTCAGTGTCTCCTCTTCTCTCTCTCATGGGGACACTCATCATTGGATTTAGGGCCTGCCCAGATAATCCAGAATGATCTCATCGCAGGTTCTTTAACTTAATTACACCTGCAAAGACCTTTTTTCCAGGTAAGGTCATGTTCACAGGATCCAGGAATTTGGATGTAGACCTATGTTTTGGGGGGCTACCATATATTAACCCACTACAGGATGTAGATGAAGAAAGACTGTTGGCAATTGTTGAAGCAGAGCGATGGGTACTTCAGGTTTTCTTATACTGTTCTTTATACTTTTTGGAATTTTTCCATTTAAAAAATTTAAAAACTATTTTATTTATTGAGCTCCTACTATGGCCAGGTCTGTGCCAGACCATGAGGACTTGATTCAAACAAGATGAAAGCTTTACCCCAGGAGCTCAGACTATATGTGGGAAATTTATATTAAATACATAATGTCAGCAGTATAAAGGGTAGAGTATTCCAGTCAGAACAAATAGCTTGTGCAAAGGCCCAGAGGAAGAGGAGGCTAATTTGAGTGAGGCAGAAAGGAAAAAGTATGCAAATAGGGTTGCCAGATTTAGCAAAAAAAATATAGAACACCCATGTGAATGTGAAGTTCAGAGAAACAATCAATACTTAGTAGAATCATGTTTCATACAATGTTTGGAGCATACTTATCCTAAAAAGGTATTGATTACTTGTCAGAAATTCACATTTAACTGGGTGTCCTGTATTTTTCTCACAACCCAATATGAAAAGCATTCCAGAGTGCCATCAGCTGGCTCTTTCCAGATATCACCTCCTGTGGTTTTGCTCACAGGAGAGGTTTTTCATCTGCCTTAGTCCTCACATTTAATTCATGAAAACCTCACAATAAGTTTCTTCAGAAAGCTAATCCCCATTAACTCACAGAGAGAGTTAAACTTATCTAAAGTTTTTTGTTTATATTTGGTTTTAAACTTTTATCTTCAACCTTGGAAAGGAACATGTTGATCAACGGTTTTGTAATAAGAGGATGAACTACCGTTTTTCTTATAATCTAGTATAGAACTCTGTGGTCCTGAAGCCTGCAGGAGTCGCTTTTCCCTAACTGGACTCTGCCCACTTCAGTGGGAGGGTTTATTCAGATAAAGAAAGGGCTTATAAACAATCAGGAATTCATATTAAGTTGCTGAGCCAGGAGGGTGACAGCCTTTAACAAGGTAAGTTCTGATCTTATACACTTTCCTACACCTCCTCAGGTGCTCTCCTCTAGGTTCCTAGAAAAATACATTAAAATATGTTTTTAGCACAAGAAAAACTCTGTTTTATACTCACTTTGGTCCTTCCTGGTGTGCTTGGTGTTAGATGACAGTTCAAGGTTCGTTTATTCAGTTTCTGTTGGATACATCATCATAGAAATGTAAAAATGAGGAATTTGAAAAATTAGAGCATGAGAATTCAATGGTATGAGAAAAATTAATAGCATGAGGAGAAAAAAAGGATGGTAGCATTTAGGCAAACTGAGAATATGTCTATTGCAAGAAGAATGTGGGAGTTTATGCTAAAGGTGCTTTGTCTATCGAAGTAGAAAACACATGACTGTTGTGAATTGGGATAACGTAATACTTCTTAGGCTGTGAAAATTCAAAATAGAATGTATTTTAATAGTTTATGCTAAAGGTGCTTTGTCTATCGAAGTAGAAAACACATGACTGTTGTGAATTGGGATACCGTAATACTACTTAGGCTGTGAAAATTCAAAATAGAATGTATTTTAATAAGAATAAACTTGTCTGACTGTCAGAAGATCAAGATTCTAATTCAGTCTTTGCCGTTAATTAGCTACATGACAAGTCACATTCTCTCTCTGGGTTTCAATGAACTCATGGCAGACCTAGAGAATGGGAAGGCAGAGTTTCTCAACCTTGGCACTTCTGTCCTGTTGGACTGAGTTATTGTCTGCATGGAGGGCTGTCCTGACCATCATACAATGTTTAAGGCATCCTTGGCTCTAGCTGACCTAGAGAATGGGAAGGCAGAGTTTCTCAACCTTGGCACTTCTGTCCTGTTGGACTGAGTAATTGTCTGCATGGAGGGCTGTCCTGACCATCATACAATGTTTAAGGCATCCCTGGCTCTAGCCACTTGAGGCTGTAGCGTCCATTCCCCCAGGTTATGACAACCAAAAATGTCTTCAGACTTTGCTAAAGATCCTCTGGGGTGGGTAGTAAATCACCCCTAGTAAAGAATCACTGGACTATAAGACTTCCTGAGTGTTAAAACTCAGAAGTCGTGATGGGACAACTAAAACTAGTTTTCAAAAAGCACCTAAAGTCACCCAGCATGGATGAATGGGGTCATTAGAATTAGAATATAAGTGTCAACAGTGCCCTGGAATAAATGTTAATTTGGGAGAAAGGAAAAGTTCTTATAAAAGAGAGACTGAGAGTTTCAGTGAGATTCTCTGAAAATCCAGGCATTGGAGCAACCAGGATCTAACAGAACTTACAAGGAAAAATACCGCACTTATAGGAGAGAATACTGAAGGGACAATAGAGAAAATCATGTCACAAGATGCTAGAGAGTGTGATACAAGGGTACTTCATAAAGTTCATGAGCAAACAGAATGGAAAGATAACTCTTTGAAGTGCCCTCATATTTTGATGAGGGTGGGGTGTGATCCTCATCTGAAGAGTAAGAGGGCAGACACTTGGGAATACAAAATCCACCAAAGCTGGAAAACTGAGATGGTACCCTGGAAGGATGGATTCCACCTGGGCAAAGGGGCAGGTTGCTCAGTTTCCCTAGTCTGGCAGCCTTCTCACCTTGCTCTAACTTGCTTGGCTGGGAGAGTCATGATCCTTGGGTGGGGATTCCCAGGAACCCATAACATGAAGTCACTTCTGGGCTCCCAGGAACCCATAACATGAAGTCACTTCTGGGCACGTTCTGCTCCATCTGTTCTCCATAAGCCTGTTTTTTTGACTAGATCTAAACCCCCTTAGGGCAGGGACCAAATTAGACTCGTATCTTCTTCCCCAGCACACATCACCATTGCTTGTTACACAGAAACTGCTCAATCAGTGTGAGTTACGAAGTTTGAATGAAACTTTTTAAAAGGAGGAAATACATTTACATGTATACCAAAACAAGGAATGGAAGAAGGATCCATGAAACGTCTGCATTTCCAGGCAAGGAGCAGGATGTCAGAGAGAATCTGACACTTTCATCAGATGTTCACAGTGAGCCCCTGTGCTAGTGCTATGAACAGCTGGAGAGAGACGGCAGTGGGTCTCCCAGTGGCGCGGCTGGAATCCGTGGAAAGGTGGCCTGGGGACAGGAAAGGTTGAGTCCATAACTAGTGCTGAGTGGCAGCCGGGGCCTGGCCTGAGGAGAAAGGCCTGTCGGACACAGCACACAGGGTAAAAGGGGTGGGAACCAGGGCTTTGCTGCAGTCTTTGGGCAAAGCAAGGCAGTGTTAATGATGTGCCAGGCCTCCCTGAGCCTTCACTGAAAACTTCCTGCTAGTCTAGGTTTAAATGATTAGTGAATATCATCAACCTCTGCACAGGAGGTACAAAACAAAAGAGCCATTATGTGATATGTTTTTAAAAACTCTGAATACATATCAAATCTTATTCCTACTGGAGCTCAGTGGGAAAAACAGAGAGATGGATAGAAGACAGATAGTAGATGAAAGATATGTGGACCAAAATTAAGGCTGTTGAGGCAGAAATAATTTTACAAAGGTCTTTTGAGAACCAAATATGAGGATTGAACCAGGAAATACAAACCAACAAAGTTGAGAAGTGCTTCAAAGTCTATTACTAGCTGAAAGATTTTATGTGAAAGTTTGGAAAAGGAAGGGTGACTTCTTGTACTAGAGTTGTCCCATTTTCATTGGTGCATAAAATAGAGAAGTTACAACCATTGGTTACAGATTATAGCACATAAACAAGAAATGTCTATGTGTGGAAGGAGCATCTACGGGCCAGACAATGCTTCAGCTAATCTTCATGATAAATTGGTGGCTTCCTCAGAGTTAGCAGGCTATACATTAATTGTCACATCAACAATTTTAAGAATTTACATGATTCTTCACTTAGGAACAGGACTTCTCACCCAAGTCATAAGGCCCCCCTTCAAGGCAATTGATATGTTTTTTAGAGAACTGTTTCTGTAGCTAAAGTCATCAGATACAAAAATATATTGATACATGGGTACATAGAAGAATCGATAGATAAAATGAGACAGGTAGAAGACAGATAATTTTAGAGAACTGTTTCTGTAGCTAAAGTCATCAGATACAAAAATATATTGATACATGGGTATATAGAAGAATCGATAGATAAAATGAGACAGGTAGAAGACAGATAGAAGAGAGAGGACTATATCCTACCTAGTGTGCTCAGATACTCAAACATCTCCCAGGAATGTGGCAAGAGTGAACTTCCATTTGCCGAGTCCCTATTATAAATTTTATGTACATTATCTCATTTAACTTTGCCAAGAGCCCTCAAAAGTAGATATAACTATCTCCGTTTTCAGAGGAGAAAATTGAGGCTCGGAGATTAGACAACGTACTGAGTTTATGCACCTCCTAATGGAAGGAGCTGTGATTTAGCTGCACGTCTCTCTTCTCTCTGCTAAGAAATAGTATAACGAGGACCACCTCAGGGTCATAACTCCTTTCATTTACTACTGGAATTATCGTACGTTATTGCTACCAAAAGAGGACCACAAGATCCACTAGAGAGAGAAAAAGGGCACTTTATTTTCCAGGAAAAACAATCTGTAGATCTGGGAGCACGGACCTCGGACCTTGGACCTGGACCCCTGCAGGTCCAAAGTAAGCACTCTGCCTGGGGAGCGGGGAAGGCTGTTACTTATGCCTCCTAGGATCAGGGTTCACATTCATATTCAGTGAACCTAGAGAAATGCTATGAATATTCATGGAGAAGGCTATCAGCCTGCTCAGTGAGTGTTACTGTGCAAGCTCCGTAGACTGGCCTTGGCCGGTTTTGCCTCTCTTATCGGAGACGAGAGGAAAAACTGTCCTTGGAGTCCATTTTTGTCTAATTGGAGCCCTAGTGGGCTCCCAAGAATGAGAAGGAGGGGGTCGGTGGCTGGCGCCGGGTGGACTTGTGGAAGGTCAGCGCGGAACCCCCAGCTACAGCTGGTTTGGCCTTATCTTCTCGGAGTTGTCTTTCTTTAGTTACAGAAAAGAAAACTTCTTAACAGTTAGTAAGATACATACTTGCAGGCTGAGAAATACTTTTCTGCCCTTTTCCTCGTGTTGAGGCCATTTTGTTCTGATTAACCATGTGAATGTTTCTTTTAGCTACAGTGAGTCCATTTGGTCTGTCTTTGGGGTACATGTTGACATCACATTGCTTTGGTAACAAGCTTGTCTTCTTATCGAGGTAAATAACTACAGTTACACTAGTTCGTTTTTTTTTTTTTTTTTTTTTTTTTTTTTTTTTTTTTTT